TTGAGTCAGCTATGACGTGACGTCACCCCCTGGATGCTTTTAATGGTTCAGCTGGAACTAATTTAAAATATACATTGATACTATACACCTTTTTTATTCCATTTATTTTTAAACTATAAGGTATTTCAGATATTCAGAACATCATTTTAACCCAAAGACATTACAACATATAGACAAAATGTTTCATTCATAAATCCCATTTGCGGACTGTTATTGTTTTAAAATTGTTAGTGAGTGGAAGAGAGAAAGACAGATCTCTTATGACCGGCTGGCAACGTTGTAAACAGTGTCCATAATATGCTCGCCAGTGGTGTAGAGTTTTAAACTTACCAGTATTGTTAGAGTAGTATGTTAAAAAAATACGTAAATATGTAGGTATATTTTTTTAGTAATATAATTATGATGATTTTTTCATGTAGGTAGATTAGATTAGATTATGAGTTGGACGTTATTTATCCTTGTCCATCGCGACCTTTTCAGATCTATTGTGGGACTCCTGTTTGTTTTAGAGTATGTCGTCTAGCCTGGTCTTTTTTATTAGTCTCAGTAGCTTTGACAGTGGCTCCCGCATGTAGTTGCATGCAATTGGCTTTTCTTCGCCCAATGTTAGAAACCTCGTTCCAGCCAGGCATTCACATTGGCACAGGACGTGGAATATTGTTTCATCTTCTTCTTCACAGATCCTGCACAAAGTTGCTTCTTCTGCTGGATTTATGACACTCATGTGCCTTTTAAAGCGACAGTGTCCAGTAAAAAGGCCTACTGTTATCCTAATGATTTGACGCTTTTGATCCAGTAGGTCTTTCGTGAACTTGGCCGATGGTTCCTTGATAAACTGTTTGGCCTGTCTCAGTCTTGGATAGTTGTTCCACCATTCCTGAGACTCTGTTTGCATCCATTGTTTAATGGATGCCTTGCACAATGCCTTAGCAACTCCACAGAAGGGTCCGGGGCATGTCATGGCCTTATCTGAGCCTCCTTGGCCTAATTCGTCGGCCTTTTCGTTGCCCTGATATCCCTCATGGCCTGGAACCCAGGCTAAGGTCACCTTGTTTTAACTACTTAGCTCTGTCAGGTCTTCTAGAGAGTCTTTCACCAGTCTTGATTTGATTTCTGGTGAGAGAATTGCCTTCAGAGTATATGACAATAGTTTTGCATGATACTTGCTGATTTTTCATGTAGGTAAATTCAAGTACAAGTAAATTTAAATACAAGCGAATTCAAGTTACCTTTAGATTTTTAATATTTATTGGTTTATAGTTTATTGGCATTTACTATATATTTGCCTGGTATGATGTTAACCAAAATTATTTAAAATTTTAAATTAACATTAAATATGGCAAAAAATATCGTAAAAAAATTGTACAAATTTTTAAAATAATGTTTTAAATATATAAAATACTTTAATTTTATTAACTAAAATTTCATTTAATTTTTTTATGCTTAGTTATTAATGTTATAACTTACTACAACGTTTCTTTTTGCAGCAGGTGGTGTTCCAAAAACAGTTGAATCAGAATTAAAAACCCATACATTAGATATGCATACATATAGGTAATAAATAATGTTTAGAGGTAAACAAAAAATTAATATTTTGTATTTTTACCTGTTGGATAAGTCATCCAAAAATAGAAAGCCCTCACACCGTCTCGAGTTTGCATCTTTTCTAATATATCTAGTACCATTTGCACGTACCAAAACATTTTCAGGAAAACAGTGTTCTAAACACAACTCTGGATTTTTTCAAAGGGGCTGATTTTCAAGGATTCCTATTAGAGAAAACCAAAGTTTTCTTTTCTCATGATCTTGCGGAAACCTAAATAGAGTAATAAAAAATATGTATAGTTGCTCAATAGGTAAATCATTTTTAAGGTATTCTATATTTTACGTTAAATTTTCTTTGCCACTATTCAATATTTATATATTGGTATAAGAAAAATGTACTAATTTATAAAAGGAATAACACTTTAAAAACTGTTTTAGACTACACAAGTTTTTGATACAATTTCTTGTACAATTTAAATTGTATATTATCAAACCTGCAGTAAATTGTCTGAAAAATTAGATTGGATAATCATTTTTCAAACAATTTATTATGTGGTCCTATATAATTTCAATTCTATAACAAATTGTATCAAATCTTGTACAAGCCCTACTCCACTGGTTCAAATGAAAACAACATATCTTAACCTAAAAATACTTACCGATGAAACCATACAGTTCATCAAATTTCTAGAGGCTTTCGACGGCTAGACAGAGAAAGCACTACTGACAGGCATCCCGACGGATTTACGCAATGAAAGTACACTCTGCGCATCAAGTATTTCACTATTTCATTCAGACGTAAATGTCAGATGTAAATTTCGCTAAAACATTTCTTTTATTTTCGTTTGTGTTTTTTGCTCATTACAGTTTAATAGAACCTAAGTATGGAGTTTAATAGCAAATTAAGAGGCCGCGTGATTAACAGTCAATCTCGCGAAATAATAGCCAATGTTATAGAGTTTATGAGAAGAGAAGGAAACTTTAATTCACCTTCAATACCATTTAAAAATGTAAATGATCGTGTTGCTGCAGCCACAGGAGTATCTAAAAACACTGTCGTCCGCATTTCTGGAGAGAAAAAAAGAATCGATAACCGTGAGATATCGGAATTTTCATCACCAAGAAAAACCATTAAAAAACCAAAAACAGTTAATGATATAGATGAAGCTGCACAAGAATCAAATTTTATTTTTTTATTATTAGATAGCTATTTTTGTTTCTGAGTTGTGTTCATTTACAGGCTCAATTTTTTTCCGTTTCTCCTTTTTGATTTTATATGGGGTTTCAAGTTGTTTTTGACTTATTTCGACGTAAATCACAACAACACACTTTTCTAATAAAGCAAACAAGTGTTAAGAGGTATATGTACGTGTAAACTACAATTACAAAAAATTGATATGAAACCCATGAAACCACCAACAAAAATGTAAAGCTAGCTTCCGTACTAGAACATGGTGTCATTCGTCGAGATAATTTATCGTTTTGTTTAGATCAAGAAATGTAAATATTCCCCTGTTATTTTTTATAAAATTATAAGAGAAATAAATTTTTTTCTAAATAGTATAGTTTATTATTTTGTAGAAAAACAAAATTTCGAAAATTTTAGTAATGTTTCAGAAACAACCGTTATTAATAATAGGTACCATTTTCCTTAATAAGGTACAAATAAAATATAAACTATTTCCACGATTTACAAAGGCCTACAAAAAAATTATAGGTATTTTCCGCTATCCTATAAAATTTATATTTTCTGACTCAATTTCAAAAGGTTGAAGGAATTCCAAAACACCTTTTATGGCATAATAATTATTTTCAATTCTACATACTATCTTTAGCTGCTTTTAAAAACGTTCTAAGAAAGTCCAATCAGACCAATTTAATCCCTAAACTATTCCACACTTTTAAAATTTAATTACCTAAAAATATTAAAAACTATTTAAAATAACTTGTTTAGCAGACTGTACAATAGCTATCTTAGTCACACGTAGCGCGTTCTCTGTCTGGGCGTCGAACACCTCTAGAAATTTGATGAACTGTACATTTCGACTTAAATTATCTACCTTTTTGAACACTACACATGCATGTACCATAATTCTTTATATTTCTCACAAAAATAGTATTTTATAAATAAATAAATCAACAAGTCACACAGAAACTGTCAGATACTGTCAGAAATACAAAATAGCTGTTATACCTGATTGGCAACGTTGCGGCTGGTTACGGTACTACATTTCATTCGTTAAAATTATAAATTCGTAAAATAAGATATTCAGCGTTGCCGTATTTACGGAGTTTTTCGAAACCCTAATATTTTATTTAGATTGATTTTTTAATAAAAAATTTAGCTTATATTAAAACTTCAAAGAATAATTTGATTAAAAACATATTTTTATTTATATAATATACAATTATAGTTACAGGACACATCAAATTATATTTTTCGAAAGTAATTTCTCCAAATATTTTTGACAGACTGATAAAATCGGCAAAGACGCAATAAACGAGAATCTGGTGGGAATAATGATTTGCCACATAAAAATGTAAACAATTTGGTCTCTTAGTTGTAATGTCTTTGTTTTAACCAGACAAAAAATTACAAACATTCCAAAATTACAGGAGTAGGTAAAGAATAGGTAATAAATTTAAATACCGCTCTTACATAAAAATATTTCTTAAATAACACATTTGAGAAATTTGACATGCTAGTTATAAGATAGAAGTCGAAATGTATATACAAAGTGTACAAAAGTTAATACAACTTAATAAAAGTGTAGCTGACTCTTATGGTGTAGGTGTAATAAAACGTCGGCCGTGCGTTCTCGCTTCGGTCGCTCTTTTCTCTAGCGATAAGACTGTTAATGGGATGAGCGTAGCTGACTCTTATAGTGTAAGTGCAGAAAGAACGCACTCGCTTCGCTCCCTCCTTCTTCTAGTAGTAGGGCCGTTATTGGGACAAACGTTATGGTTTTGGTGAAGAAAGGGCGCACACGGTCAACGTTTCGAAATTCGGGCGCGCGGTTTTAGACCATAAAAAATACATTTTTTTTGAAACAACTAATAATCAAAAAGTTTTCCATATGTACTCAACTTACATAGACACGTTGTAGTACAACAATAATGATAATTTTCTGTCAATTTGCTATACTCACCCTAAAAATTATACAATTTAAAAAGCCTAGCTAGGAATTGATATCATTGCCACCCCTTACATCCCTGGATAGACTAGAACCTTGTCAGTTATGCAACCAAATGACTAATTGGAAAGGGTTACCGTATATGGGTACAGTATGGCTACCCTATATACTAACTGACCGTACATAATGAGTTATCATAATTTAGATACAATTTTAATGACATATCAAAGAAAATAGGTTCTAAACCTCACGCTTAGAGAATAAATTTGAAGTCCCTGATTTTCAGACAAATTACAATATAATTTGTTTAAATTTATTTAGAGATCAGTGTCTTCTACCCCCACATCCACGTTACGGAAAATGGGATGTAGTAGACGGAGAAAGAAAAACGGGAGACAGAATTGAGAAATATTCAGTTCTAAAGTTCGAATGTACAGATGGCTACCTATTGACATCGGAATCTCCTTATGTTACGTGCGACGAAAAATGGAATTCAGATAATTTCCCAAAATGTGAAAGTAAATATTTTCTTATACTTTATTTATTATTTATAAAAGCTTAGGAACATCTAATATGTTTGTACAAGATGCATTTATATCAAACAGATAAAAACTATTTCTTCTTCTTCTGCTTCCTCTTCTTCCTCCTCTTCTTCTTCTGTTTCTTTTTCTTTTTTTTTTCTTCTTCTTCCTCTTCTTCTTTTTCTTTTTCTTCTTCTTCCTCTTCTTCTTATTCTTTTTTTTTTCTTCTTCTTCTTCTTCAATTTCCATATGAGTTACTGCGTCGTGTGCATTTTCTACATTTTTCTATTCTTTTCTTTCGACATTAAACCGTTTCTCTTCTCTTACTCTTTCATTGTGTTTCTACTTATACCTATTCTCCTTTTGTTTTTTTTTACGATGACTTTGTATAATTTCACATTATTTGTAAAAAAGTTTCTAAAGTAGGTCAAAACAATATTAAAATTACATGCTCTCTGTTCTTAGTCGAACGAAGTATATAAATAATAAGCGTTGTTTGATTTTCATAGCTATTAAAATTATTGTATGTTTCATTTTTCACTCTATATTTGTAGGATTCTGTAAAATAAATAAATACTTATTTTAGAAATGTGCCCTCCTCTTCACTCAACCACTTCCACAACGTTACGATGCAGCAATAGACACGGCAAAAAAATTAATTGCAATAGGGCTACACATGGTACCACCGTGTCTTACGATTGTCGTGCGTATTATGAAGTACCGCTAACTCATAGAATACCCATAGTATGTAATAATGGAGAATGGAGTTCATCATCACCCGTATGCCAACCCAGTAAGTTTTAAAATTGCACTAGATGTAGTTGCCGCGTAAAGAGCAGTAAAACTGCACGATCAACATGATTTTGTTGAGGACAGTGTGTTTGAAACATGTTTTGATGGTGGTAAGTTTTCGTAGATATTTATGGGAGATGAACTGTGCACATTTGTAAGTATTTTAACATCAATAATAATAAAATTATTTAATTATTTATTTACAAACTTCCAAATAATAGTAAACAAAAATAGTCGCTTTGATATAATAAACTAAAATATTGGCCTGTTGTCCTGTTTATTCTAATGCTTACTCTAATGCGTATTCTAATATTTATTCTAATGCTTATTCTAATGTTTATTCTAATGTTTATTCTATTGTTTATTCTAATGTTTATTCTAATGTTTATTCTAATGTTTATTCTGATGTTTTTTCTGATGTTAATTCTAATGATTATTCTAATGTTTATTCTCTGAGCAACAAAATAATAGCTTTGTTCTCCCACTTAAGGAAATAATATATTTTTTAATCTTCGAAGCCAATATATAAACGCACGGTAAATAAAAAGTCGGAGTTTTTTTAATATTTATATTTATGATTTTTAACAAAAAGCATGAATATTTACAAACTATAATATTTATAATGGTTTAAAAGTGTAAAGGTTAAAGAAAAGGTCCTTTATTTCTCACAAGTCAATTTAATTGGCGACCGGTTTCGAAGTTGTCACTTCATCATCAGGCACACCTAAATGGAATGTCAAGGAGTCAGTTGTAATTACACTTAATCCCTACTACTCACATATGGCTACCCTCACTCCAAAAAAAAAATGGTTTAAAAGGTTCCGATTGCTTAGATCTTTTAGCTTTTCTAGTGTAGGACGACTCCGGCGTTTCTCTAACGATGGACCAACAATAATTGGCAAGCATAGAGGGTTCCCATTTGCCTTGGTAGCGTTTTTCAAATGACGCGATGTCTTGATGGAACCGCTCTCCGTGCTCGTCACTTACGGCTCCTATATGTTGTGGAACGAAATTAAGATGTGATTGCAAAAAGTGTATTTTTAACGACATTTTGCATCCCATTTTTTGTTAAGCTTGTAACATCGTTTTGACGATATTCACATACTGCGGAGATTTATGATTGCCGAGAAAAGTTTTGATCACTTCCACAAAGGACAACCAGGCTTCTTTTTCAACGTCGTTTAATGCTGCCGAATACCCTGAATCTTTCATGAGTTTCCTTACGTCGGGTCTTCTTTTATCTTGGCATTGCTAAGAGAAGGACGATTTTTGTCCATGGCCTAGCTTTAGTCCTAGCTTTATATGTTAAGGTGGCAATATTATTTATTTCAGATCGACTAATGGTACATTTTTTACATTTTTCTGGTCAGGGACATAAGCTGTTCTTTCAGGCCAGTGCTCTTGAGTGTAATGTTTCGACTGATCCCTACTATCCCATTCACATAAGAAACAGCAGAATTTGGTATAGCCCGTTTAGAGTCCCAAAATTAAAGCAACTACCTTTAAATCAACACAGATAGTCCACTGGAAGTCTTTGTAGTTTATTCTGTTTAAATCAAGTCTCATCACTTCATATGTTTCTTTTAAATTAGCACTGAACGCTACAGGAATGGATGGAAGCTTGTTTCCATTATTCAGAAGCACGGCTTTTAAACTAGTCGTAGAAAAGTCGATGAGAAATAGCCATTCGGAAGGATCATGCTCATGGCCTAATTTAACAAACAGGCCCTTAACATCATTACAAAATTCTAAGCCTTCCTCTTTCGAAAAACAATCAACAACAAAACTGTGACGTTTGCGATATTTACATAGGACGACTCCGGGTTCGAGCAAATTCCACTGATTAAGTCGTGATCCTAAAAATTCGGCCTTTTCTTTCGATAGATTTAGATCCCTGCATAGATTATCGAGTCTCTTTTGGCTCAATAACACTGGAGCATTGCTAGTACAAGGCTCATGAAACTCTGGATCAGAGGAGGAAGCTTCCGGGCTGTCTGATGATGCCTCAATGTCTAGTGATGAATGCGCTGGCAAATCCTTATAACGGTAAACAGGTTTGTCAACAAAACTCACGTCAGGATACTTTAGAGTATGTTTTTTATTCCTGTTTTGCCCTTTGAGATCAGTGAGACAAAAATAGCAGTCAGTAATGTAATCTTTTTGTTTACGCCAAATAACTGGTTTCGTAAAAGGCTGCGTCACAATTTTTTTATGAGACCAATTGGTTAGGTTTTTGTAGCAAGTTATACAGCAGACATGTGGCACCCACGATTTATCTAGATTGGCAACTCTAATTTTAAAATAGTTAAAATAACACTCTTCGATATACGGAGTAAAAGACTTTTTTTACTATCTGTTGTGAACTTTCCACACACGTAACAAAACTTATCGGGAGATTTTATGTATTAACACCCCATTATCAACATAACATAACATGCAGCTGCGTGAAATTTTTGTACCTTACTGTACTGCGTTTTGAACGCGACTGACCTTATTTCGATAGTTCGCCTATTTTATAAATTATCGTAATGAACACAATGTAAACATGGAGAATTCTTGCAAGTTGTTTATTTTAATAACGGGAGCTAAACAAACGTAAGTATTATTATTTTTGTGGTTAGGTGAAGGATACATAATAAAAACAATCTAAATCGCTTAGTTGGGAGAACCGTTGTTGACTATTCTTATTATTCTAGTGTTTATCCTAATGTTTGTTATTAAGAAACATTATTTTGAGTGCTAAATTGAGTAGATACACTAAATGTTTTTTTTTACATTTTGACATATAAAGTAACTATTTTTTAATCGCAACAAGTGTCAAAATGATCTACTTTACGCAACCTGTTGTATAATATACATTATTGTCAAAGAAGGGCAGGTTTATTTATAAAAATGGAATATGGTTAAACTAAAAACTTAGTAATATTGATGTTTTAGTCCTTATTTTCCATTCTAAAGAGCACAAATATTTTAAACACAATATACGACAAAATAACTTACTTTTTTGAAAACTAAATAACTTTAATAAACCGTGTAAACACACTACAAGGCATTGAGAATAAATATTTAATATTATGTTCTATTTGTCAACAAAATGATGCATATGCAACTAAAAATACGAGACAGTAGTAATATTGGTTGCCTAGATGTCAGTTATTTCTTATTAAAACACAATTTCATAAATAATCCACTCAAAAATATTGTATGTAACACATTATGAACTGCCGTTTTATGTAACTCGTTTATGTCGCTATGCTCGTCACTTGTTACATAAAATAAGGCATTTTTTGACTGGTTTCATAAATAGATTTTCGTAACCAACTTCTTATTGTTTAACTTTATGTAACTGGTTACTTAAATTGCAAAAATGATTGTTAAATCTATCTTTAGCTATTGATCAAGTTCTATTAGGCTAAACTTTTCACCGAAATTCAGCCCATGGGTTGAAAGTGGGCTGTTACCGACCATTTGTGAAAGAACTAAAACTCGTAATAGTCTACTATACGAATTTTCTAGTGTAAAATTATTTTTTTTTTAGTATGTGGAAAGAAAGTGAATACCAAATTCACACCTCTCATATGGGGTGGAAATGAAGTGACTGACATAATTTATCCCTGGGTCATTGCTGTATATAGAAAAATAGGCAACACTTATAAAAATATTTGCGGAGGATCACTCATAAGTCGAAATCTTGTGCTAACAGGTAACTATCTGCTTAAGAGAAAATAGTATTCTTTAATTTTTAATCGTTTACAATAGTATATTACGTAACAAGGATTGTAAGTAACCGAAATAAAAAAGTGTGTAAATTTCGCGAGTGCGTAATGGGCTTACAACTCGTGTAACGTACTGTACTTTTTCTACGTCCACTTATTTTCTTCTATTAAATAAAGGACATATGCTTGTGTCATCAATCCATAATTTTTTTTGGATTTTAGCGGTAACAAATTATGTGTGACATCTTGAGCTTTTTCTAAAATCTCCGGTGGAATGCTCATAATTTCATCATTTTCACTACTAATAGATATATTCGTAGGTAAAGTTGAAAAAATGTTCGAATACAATAATATTCGGTTACAAAAGTTGACAATATAAATGATAAGACGTTTATTTCCATAAACGCGACTTATATTTTGAAAAAGTGTATAATGTGTTGCCGACATTTAGCGGCATCACTTTTTGAATCCAAAATTATCTAAAAGTTTTTATCTTTTTCAATTGACTAAATTTATGTAAATAGACCAAATAAAGTCAAACGTAGATAAAAATTTGATTGCAATTTGAATAAACTAAGAAGTTAGATTTTCCTATCAAAACGCACGTGTATGTTATAAAATCTTATTACGTGCATGTTATTGATAAATGTCATTTACAAGGAATGTTGACACTACGATTTTTAATGTTTGCTGACATGGGCGTAGAAAAACAAGTATTACATATCATGTATCAAGAGCCGGTGCGCGTAGTTTTTCTGCATTAGTAGTACCTTCACTATATTGTTTCTACGACCAAAATAACTAAAAAACAAATAAAATATGTTTTTTAAATGTATCTTCTCGACTATATAATAAACATATTTTTAGTTTTAATTTTAATTTAATTATTTTTCACTGAAGTTGGAGGCCATAAGTCTTCTGTAACGTTGTTCGGCATTCCAAACAAAATAGCTATCGGAGGGCAGCCTGGTGGATTTGATAGTCAATGAAATATAGTTACACAGATTGATATTTTTTTTTAAAATAGCTAACATAAGCGTATGCCTATGGGTAAAAATTTACGTAATTAGTTTTTTTATTATAATCAAAGGCTGAAAATTGGTTTTAAAAACCGATACTGTATAATGAGCTGGTAGGAGTTGCCTGCATCATCCGATCATAGAAAATGTTCAGTTTAAAAAAAGGCCCTTATGGCTCTAAAAATGCTCTCAAAGGCCTTTAAAATGTCTTTAAAAGGCCCTAAAGGACTCGAAAAGGTCTCCAAAAGGCCCTAAAAGGCTATTAAAAGGCTTTAAAAAGAAAAATATTAAATCGAAAAGGCCCTTAAAGTACTCTAAAAGTATTCTAAAAGCGATTTAAAAGGGCTCTAAAAATGTCCTAAAAAGGCCTTAAATAAGCACTAAAGTACTAAAAATGCTATAAAAAGACTCTTAAAGCCTCTAAAAGGGGGTCCTAAATGCCTCTAAAAAGGATATATAAAGGCTCTAAAAAGGTCATAAAAATTTGAAAATCTAAAATTGTAGATACTAAAATCCCTAAAAATGTCCTAAAAGTGCTCTAAAAAGGCAATAAATTGCTCTAAGTGGTCTCTAAAAGGCTATAAAAGTCTTCTAAAGGGACCCAAAAGGCTTTTAAAGAAAATAAAAAAATGCCATAAAAAGGCTCTAAAGGGCTCTAAAAGGACTCTAAAAGGCTCTAAAAATGTCCTAAAAAACACTAAAGGAATTATAAAAAGATTTAAAAAGAAGCCTCTGAAAAAAACTTTAAATTGCTTTAAGATGCTCTAAAAAGGATATAAAAAGGCTCCAAACAGGTAATAAAAATACTAAAGAGAATCTACAAATGCTCTAAAATAGTTCTAAAAATGTCCTAAATAGGCCCAAAAATGGCTCTAAAAAGACAGAAACGCCTTTAAAAATGCTCTAAAAGTGATCTACAAAAGGACACAAAAATTGCCCAAAACAGCTCTAAAATGCTCTAAAAAGGACACAAAAAAGTCTTTAAACAGGTTCTAAAAAGACTAAAATGAATCTAAAAAGAATCTAAAAATGGTTTAAAATGGCTCTAAAAGGCTCTTAACGGCTCTAAAATGTTCTTAAAATAGCTCTAAAAATTGCTCTGAAATGATCTAAAAAGGGGGGCCTAAAAAGGACCTAAAAAGGATTTAAAAAGACTCTTAAAATGTCCTAAATAGGCTCCAAAAATGGCCCTTAAAGTCTCTAAAAAGGGCTCCAAAAGACTATAAAAAGGCTCTAAAAAGGATCTGAAAAGGCTCTTTTACTAGTTTTATTTTTTAATTATCCAGTCTGTATACACCTATCACCTTCTTGAAATTTAGACAGTTATTCATTTTAAGAAATATTTATACTGTATTAAAAACGCATATAATTTTTTTTAGCTGCCCATTGCGTCTCTGATCAATACACGGATGTTATTGATAGTAATAAATTCTTTGTAGCGGGAGGAAAAAAATATAACGACTATGGTAATATAAAAGATCATTATACGGCTCAATATATTAAGGTAATTTTAATTTTAAAACTTAATTATGGCTGTTGACAATATTGAGAATTGATCAGACATTCAAGTCGTTTGTTTCCTAATTATAGTTGCAAATGCAGGAGTAATGAGAACATTGCTAATTTGCACATTTTTTAGGTTGAAAAAATTGTCGTTCATGAACGATACAGAGGAGAAAATGGAAGATACTTTGCTGATATAGCAGTTTTGGTTACAGAAAAACTGTTTAAATTAGGACCAGCAGTTCAACCTGTTTGCATTAAAAACGTGAATTTAATATACTTACCTTCAGGAGAGTTAGGAGAGGTTAGTCATAATAAAATAGTCTTTATCTACAACTGTCATTATATGGATGTATTATATGCGTATCTAAGGCAACATAAAGCAGTCCATATATCACTAGTGAGAATATATTCATATTACACGATTTTTGTCAATTATACCCCACTAGAATTAAAAATCATTAGATCTAGTATACGTTTGACAAGTTAGTTGACAGCAGGTTTACAGTTATTCGTTGTTCCCGATTCTTTTTTGAAATTAAACTTAAAATATTAAGCCCGTTTTAAGTGTTTATCAATTAAAAAAATGGAAGACGATGATTACATGGAACTAACACCTCCTGAAATCCGAGACGCCACTAAAGTGGCGTCGTTGGAATTATTACCTGAAATATCGAGGAAAAATTATGAAATTGCATACAACAAATTTATGTCGTGGAAACAAACAAAAAATGTATTCTCTTTTTCCGAAGACACTGTGCTTGTATATTTTATGGAAATTTCTAGTAAATACAAATCGTCTACTTTATGGACTAACTATTCCATGCTAAAAAGCATATTAAACATCAAGCACAATGTTGACATTGATAAATACCCGAGATTACGTGCTTTGTTGAAAAGACGATCCGAAAATTACGAACCTAAGAAATCTGAAGCTCTGACTGGTAAACAAATTGAGAGGTTTATAAAGGAAGCCCCAGATTTTAAATATCTTGGAACAATGGTAAAAACTCGAATCCAAAATCAAAATTTTTTAACTTAATCTACACATTTTTTTAAGGTTGCCTTGATTATGGGGGTCATGGGTACTTGCCGATCCTGTGAATTAAAGAATATGAAAATTGCGGATTTAAGATGTTTTGAGAGATGTTTTCAAGTAAACGTGCCACACACAAAAACCGAAGTCCCAAGGAATTTCACAATCGCAGATAATTTTTTCAAAATCGTTAAAAAATATATAGACCTCCGGCCCAAAAATGCACCACAAGATTTTTTTCTTAATTTCCAAAAAGAAAAGTGTACAAAACAAGTTTAGCGCAATGGGAAAGCAAATTGCTACGTTTTTACAATTACCAAATCCTGAGAGATATACTGACCATTGCCTCAGGCGTTCATCTGCAACATTGGTTGCTGACTCTGGAGCTTCAATGACAACATTAAAACGTCATAGAGGCTGGAAATCCGCCTCCACAGCAGAAGGGTACATCGCCAATTCAAAAAAGAACAAAATAGAAACAGCTCAAGCAATTTTAAGTCAAATCAATAATGAAAATTGTGTTGGTCTTAATAATCCATCATCTTCTGACAGTGATCGTCATGATTGTGTACTCATCAATAGCAACACTAATTTTTCTTTAAAAAACAATAATCTCAATGATATTACCGGAGCTATTAATATTTTAAATTGTAATGTTACTATTAATTACATCAATAAATAACTTTAAACGAGTTCCTGTATAAATTTGCGTTTTATTTCACATGGTGGCTTAAATACTCCTCATTTGAAAGGTCTTTTAATTGTGAACAATCTTGTCAATTCTATTTATAACAACTTCAAAGAACTTTTTCTAAAAATCCCCTTTTCGTTTTCGGTGAGCCCCCGTATTCAGTTGTAGATAAAGTATAGTATTCAATTCGTGTATAATGGACCATACTACACTCGAATATTTACAACACTCGTGTAATATGGTCAACATTATACACTTATTGAATAACATACTATTTATCCATCTATCATTAGTCTTTAGCTATAATAAAATCATTATGACACATGTCATGTTATCAAACTTAACAAAAGTGGACGAAAAAAAACTGCGAATACAAAAAAAGCATATTTGTTAGCCCGTTACCATGCATAAGTATTTGAAATCTTAACCGTTGTAAAATTTATATATTCCATATTGTTCTGTTCATAAGATTGTTTGAAGTCAAAAAATAAATAGGTCATATTGTGTTTTAATATTAGACCGTCAGATAGTGACCGATTTTGGTGCCCCATTTTCGCATACAAGTCTCGAAGAGGGTTGAAAAGTACATCGATGTTGAGTAGAATAAAAGAAAATTTACGAGTAGCTCTTGGAGATAACACATGGAAAATTCGATTTTCCTTATCAGAAAAATTTTCCGACCTCAAAATATACTTATACATTCGGGTCATTCAAGAAAATATGTTCTTCGGACTAGTGACGACGTTCGTTTTCATACATTCCATGGGCTTGTGTGGAAAAATCGGGCAAAATCTCGATTTTTCCTTAGAAGATTACGCCCTTATTTCAACCCTTTAGCCACTTGCAACATTAAAGCCTTTGGTTTTCTGAAGCCTAGTTCTATTAATTAATCATGTAGTGAAAACGGCTTGAGTGGAAAAATGGGCAACAAATAACCTTTCATTTTTTTTAAGGAAAATCGAATTTTCCATATGTTATCCCCAGCAGCCACTCGTAAATTTTCTTTTATTCTACTTAAAATCGAAGTACTTTTCAATCCTCTTCGAGGCTTGTATGTGAAAATGGGGCACCTAAACCTGTCACTATCTGACGGACTATATTTGCAGCAACAAATTACGATGAAGATATTATCCAAGAAAGGGTCGTGTTTGCAGAAAGACGCCTATTGGTAGACAGTGATCATGAAAAAGACGATCTTAGGTTATTTTTGCATCTGAACCAGTATACATATAAATTATATTTAAATTTAATTATCCATAACTCTTAACATAATTTATGAATAATAAACATTGGTAGACCAAACATCACAAATTATGAAATAATCATTATTACAAATAATGTAATTTATTGTTAGTTGTGTAGTATAAAAATCAACTTTAGATATTACACTTACCCTTTATTAAATTAATTAGAATGAAGGACTCATTTTTTTTTTTAGATAATTAAAAATTATATTTTTAAGGTTGCAGGCTGGGGATTCACCGAAGAAAATGTTCCAGCAAACGTTTTAAAATATATTAAAGTCCCCTACAAAGATGAGTATACATGCATTAGCCAATTTTCAAGCGACTGGGAAAGCAAGTACAACTTCGTAGACAAAATTTGTGCGGGTTTCTTTCAAAAAAATTCCAGTGTCTGCGCTGGTAAGTCTTCATTGTTGATTTTACTTTAGAATAACTTTTGAAACTTTGAGAATAAAAAACATATTAAAATTTCAAATTCAACACTCTTCCTCAGTGTGTGTCTCCATTATTTTTACACACAAATAATTCGAGGAATCTCTTGATAAAGGCTTGGTCAACATAATATCTGAAATATTTGCTTACCGTAATATATTCGAGATTAACATATTTGGTCATAACGCGCTCCCAGGTCTTGGTAAACTCAATTTATTTCAAGCCTAAACTTTTACAATTAACGATACATATATGAACATTAACGTACAATGGCTATCATAAAAACTACACTATGACGTCAAAATCATCGCCTTCCTTGATTTTCTCGAAAGTTCCAGATGTATCTAGACACGAAATGGAAATATATTTCACCCTCAAGATATTTTTAGAATGTTTTTTTTTGTTTTATTCAAAAGTTTACCTATAAAAGCTACAGATTACTGCTGGGTGCAGGGTAACATTGCTCCCTCTTATCTAATTTTTCGTTCTAAATAACTTGATTACTGGGACATGGTTAAAGCCAACGGGAAGGGTCTGGACCACGATTTGGAGTTAACTTGTGATCTACTTTGGGTTAATTTCCTCAGAAAACTGAACAATGTGTCCCTGTGGAATGCATGTCGATTCTTGCTTTTGGTTTATCGCAGTTGACTTTCAAACGTTCACGAGCGAATCTGTAGACCTTTTCTGATTTTTCTCTTAAGTTCTGTATGTACGTACAGCCCTCTTCTTCACCAAAAAGAAGATCATGGGAAAGCCTCATCTCCCAATAATCATCATCGATTCATGTTCAGAGTTTCGGTAGGCTAACAGAAATAGAGGAATTAAAGTGTCCTAGTCCTTTTGGTTTTCAGAGACGAACTTTGAAAGATACTAGCAAATGATTTTATGGTGTCTTTCTACCATTTCGTCAGACTGTTGGAGGAGAGGCTTAGTGCGTGTTTTCCTGATTGCCTTACATTTTCAACAATTATTGCCATAATTCGAAATCAAACGTTCATTTTTAGTCAGAATGCAATTCCAGGGGGACTCCGTGTTTCGCTATGACGTTCGTCGGGAATGCTTCTGCTACTGTCGTTACTTCCTGATTAGCAATAGGCACTATTTTAGGCCATTTTGAAAAATAGTCCACAACAACCATTAAGTATTTGCTTCCCCTATCTATTGAGGGAAGCGGTCCAAGGATATCTAAGGTGATTCGTTCGAAAGGCTCTTCGGAAAGTATTTTACCTCGACTACTCGTTTTGAACCCTTTTCTGCCATTGCACAGATCACATTTCTTACACCAATCTTCTACGTCCCGTCGGCAACTGATCCAACAAAATCTTTCACGAACTCGTTCCTGTATCATATTTGCTAGTTCTTTTTGTTTAGCGAATGGTAGTTGATACAGCTTGTAAGAATCTTCCCTTTACAGTCTCCATTATTCTATAATTCTGAAGCGAACTATATTCCATGTTTTCAATATGCCAGCTTTGGGTCAATGATCGATGATAAAAAGAAACAAGCACACCTGCATTTAACACTGTTTATTTTACATGAAGAACACCACACTACATTTATTAATTATTTACACTATGTACTCAGAAAATTTATAATTTTGTCGCCATTAGCGCATGGGTTTTTACCCAATTGTCGATGTGTCTGTTATCACAGATGAGACGAGTTTCAAGGACAGAGATCACAGATGAACTAAGCCCAAATTCGTGAATTTGATCCTGAATAAATTGTGAGAAATCGTAAGATTGTACAATGCATGCGCAGTTTAGCAAAATATTTAGCCTTTTTGATTAACGTGCTCTATTCGAGGGTAGAGCAAGGATTGACCGCGACTTTTGACTCTCAGCACCGTTCTAAAACCTATAACAGATACAAAAAAAATATATTTTTTTGTCATTTTTTGTTCTCCTCTCAGATTTTTTTTTCTCCTTGGCTCGTCTGACTATGTCTCCGAATTACACTGATACTTATTGGCTTATTGTGTTTTACACCATGCTAGTTTATAGCACCCACTCTGTCACCGTTGTACCTTGTAAAAGTTTGTACAGACCCTTGGGTGAGTGGGTTCTATACGTTATTGGATCAACCTGGGATTGTCCAAAAGTGCCTGTCTTTTGCGATCTAGAGCTTCGCATTGGCACTGTATGTGTTTGTTTATGAAACCCTGGACCGTACTCTTTGGTACTCCTGAGTTTGTGTCTGGTTCCAGTGTTTCTTCTGACCCTCTTTTTACAAGTTCGTCAGCCTTTTCGTTGCCTTCGAGCCCTTAGTGACCTGACACCCAAACTAGTTTTACTTTTTTTCCGTTTGCCAGTATTCTTAGTTCTTCGATGCATTCCCATACCAGCCACGACATAAGTTTCTGACTCGATATGGCCTTAAGTGCCGCTTGGCTGTCTGACATTATTTGAATATGCTGATTTTGGACAGCTCTTTCATTGTTCGTTTTTGCACATTGCAAAATTGAGTATACCTCGGCCTGAAATACCGAGGACTGTATTCCTATAACATAGCTATGGTTAGTATCAGGGTTTATGGAGAATACTCCCGACTCAGTGCGTTCCGCAGTCTTAGACCCGTCTGTATACCAGGTTTATTCCTGTCGTTGGGAATTGGGCTCCCTTATGGTGATCTCCGCTCTTTCCTGTATTAAAACTTCAAATGTCTAGCACGTCTCCTGTCACTAACCTTGAGATACTCATGTGATGTGGCCTAATATCAAGATTTCCCAGTGCATTCTCTAATCTGTAAGTACCTAATCTTGCCTCCTCTTGTATCAGATAGTAATGTGGTGGGAGTCCTATTAGTGCTTCCATTACAGCTGTGGGGGTTGTTTTCATTACCCCCGTTATTCCGAGGCTGGCAAGTCTTTGTACCTTGCTTAGCCTCGTTATTGCTTCCCTTTGCTGTGTCTTTGGCCACCACATCAAAGCTGCGTATGTTATTATCGGTCTCACTACCATGTTATAAAGCCAATATACCATGTCTGGTTTTAACCCCCATTTTTTTCCAAAGGATCGCCTTGCCATCATTAACGAGGTTTCCGCTCTCCTTGTGGTTTTTTCTAGATGCTGGTTTCAAGTAAGTCTCGAGTCAATCATAACCCCGAGATATTTTACCTCCTCCTTAAGCTGAATGCTTGCACCTCTTAAGTTTATAGGTCCTAGTTCCTCCAATTTTCTCCTGCGGGTGAATGCAATTATGTCAGATTTGTTTGGGCTAATGTTTAGTCCTTTTGCCTCTGTCCATTTTGTTACTATATTTAGAGCCTCTTGCATTCGATCTCTTACTATAGTGTTGTATTTTCCCTGTGCCATGATCACTAGATCATCGGCATATCTCAGTGTTCTATGTCCCTTATCTTTGAGAGCCCTAAGCAGCCCGTCCACTACACCCTGCGAAAATCCTCTCGCTACCCGTGCCGCTATTGTCTCTCCCATAAGGGTTTTGTGAATAGTTCTCTCCCTTAACATAGAGTCAATCCAGCTAGATAGATTTTAATCAAAAACGCTAATATATTTTTTAAGAATTAGGGAGAGGATTTTTGTTTTTTCATAATCATCTGAATGTCTTAAATTTTTATATAAACATAATAAAGAAATAATAAATTTTAGGGCATTACCCGCTGCAAGCCTGAAAATGCCACATTCGGTGAATTACCGCTGAAACTGTCAAGTGTCAGTTGTCCGCCATGTTTCCCCCAACGCATTAGCGCGTTCCCTGGTCGGGCTCTACGGTATAATTCAATTGTTTGTTTAATTAAAAATTATTGTTTTTATATAAAAACCAATAAAAACTTAAGGTGCGTTACTGCAAGCAGCTTTTTTAAAATTAGAGACTAAGGTACATTATCGTGAGTTAGTGAGACTCAGTACCGTACTGTAAGATCTCACAATAAATCCTGAGAAAACGTGACTATTCACCGCATACCCAGCTCTGTGGTATACTGTAAACAGATACGTTTTCTCAGAGTATCTTTGTGGTGGAACTAGCCCTATGTTGGTTTCTTTTCTGTATTGTTTTATTCTGTGCCATTACGGCTCGCTCAATCATTTCGCGCAAGCATATTACAGATTTTCTTTGTCCAATCATTGTTATAAATAGATACTTAAGTAAATGGTGCAGGGGCGGTCTAGTCATTTCCGCAATTTTAATATTTTTGTTAAGGTTATTCCTAACAGTAATTTTCTAGTTGCTTGCCGTATTGGACTTGTTACTTCTTGTGTTGTTATAGCCGAAGAGCTTGCTGCATTTCTAGATCCTGTAGCCTATCGATGAATGTTTGTATGTCGATTTGTTCTAAGAAATCTTTGGGCGCCTATGGATAGGCCAAATGCAGCAATCTTTTTGTATCGGCCTCTTGTAGACTTTTATTGTATTTCTGACTACAAACTTTTAGCTGGCTTTGGAATACCTGTTTTAAATGGTGCTGGCCATATCTCTAAAGCTTGGACGAGATATGAATAACTGGGTTCTTCTTTAGGAAGTAACTGTAAAACGGTTGCTGCCTGCCCTCGCAGAGACATTATCAATGAAGCCGTCATATCTTTCTCGGTCCAGCTATTAGCTGTACCTGCAGCTTCAAATAAGAGTCGATATGTTTCCCATGTTGTCTGACCGTCAAATGTGGTTGGCTTTAGGGTCTTGTTACTATGGCTTAGGTCAGTTTCAGATAAAAAATCAGCCACTTTAGCTTTAATTTGACTTTCCAACTCTACTCTAGCCTGTTCTTGTTGCTTTCAAATTTTCTTGCTGTTTCTTTACATTATTTTTCAAATTCTCTTGCTGTTTCTCTAAATTAGCTTTTAAATTATTTTGTTGTTCTAAATTCATTTTTAAATTATCTAAATTAGTTTTTAGATTCTCTTGCTGTTGTTCTAAATTGGCTTTTAAATTCTCTTGCTGCTGTTCTAAATTGGCTTTTAAATTACCTTGTTGTTACGTTAAGAAATCTACTCGGATGTTTAGCTGACGACCTATCTCTTGCTTAAGATATTCTTGAATTTGCTGCAAACCATTAATTATTTATACCTCAGCTTTTTACGCTTCTTTTTCTTTTCCTCCTCTTCGTCCTTCCCGTGTCTTTCTCTTTTCTCCTCTTCGCCCTTCCAACGTCTTTGCTTCTCCTCACCTCGCCTTTCCTTTTCCTCTTCTTCCTTCCTGCTCTTTTCCTTCTCCTCTTCCATCTTTAAAAATTATGCTGTGGAACTGTTTCGTGCTCAGTGGATCTAGTAACTACCATGAACTTTTATTTTATATCTCACCGCTGTCACCAATATTACGCTGGTTTTTGGTATCTCAATTTAATTTAATTCGATTTTTACAATAAATCAACTATACAACTGATAACATTAACGTATAACTTTTTTTTTTTTTTTTTTTTTTTAAAGGTGAAGGGGGAGAAAAAGTCCTTTATATCTCACAAGGAAAGTCAATTAATTATTTAACAAAACATTGAGTGCGACCGGTTTCGAAGTGTCATCACTTCATCTTCAGGCTCGCCTAGTGGAAAGGAGAATATGTGGTGTAAGGTGTGTTAACACTTAGAGCAAACGATAAATAAAATAATAAAAAAGACAAAACTCACCATACTCTCCATCCACTAGGGAATACTACAAAAACAAGTTTCATCAAATGTTGGGTGAAATAAATTGTAAAATGAACAAAGTTTACAAGTAATAAAAAGTTAAAAATATTTAGTTTATTAGTTAATAAGTTATTTGTTCATAATAAAGATAAATTAGATCCCTTTGACTTATCTGGAATTTATAAATTAACTTGTAAATCTTGCCATTCTTTCTATGTGGGACGCACATTTCGAAATTTCAAGATCCGTTTAAAAGAACATTTGCGTTGTCTTAACCAAAATACAACAGGTTTTTCACATTTTGCCAACCACCTACTGGACTCAAATCACGACTTCGATTCAACTGAAGGTTTTGAAATCCTACATAGTTCCTACCATAGATTTACGTTTAATAGCTTCGAAAGCCTCGAGATATTGAGAAATTTAAAATTAAATCCTGTTGGTTGCTTAAATGCCCAGATAATGTCAGAAACTCCTCCTGTTTTCTCAACACTAATCCAAATTTATCTTTCTAACTTCCTTTTTAACCTCCCCTTTATTTCTATTCACATATTTTCTTGCAAGGGGTACATTTCAGTAAGTAATTTTTTTCCCATAAGAAACCAACGAGCACGTTTAAAGATTAGGTTAGATTGTGTGATTTCACATCCGTCATTTTCTTCTTTTATTCTTCAGTTGCTTCACAACAGTTAACCCAGTCATTTCTTCTTCTTTCTTCTTCCTACAACATCACATACACTTGGTGATTGGTTCATGGCCCAAATCTTATATAATAAATAATAAATATTTCTTCACTCATAGTTTACATCTTATTACCTATACCCTGTCATGGGTTTACCCAAGAATTTTTTTGTTAATACTTGCCACCACCTGTAGAGGCCTTAATTTGACAGGTCTCCTTTCAAAAATGTTAGTTTTTTGAAAAAACAAGGTTGTTTAAAATAAGCCTTATCTTTTAATCTGTTTAATGTATGTGATTTGTTTTGTATAGTCTTGAATATTTTAAATTTTACTATTTCAATTGACTAATATTTGTTTTTCAAATATTTTTAACTTTTTATTACTTGTAAACTTTGTTCATTTTACAATTTATTTCACCCAACATTTGATGAAACTTGTTTTTGTAGTATTCCCTAGTGGATGGAGAGTATGGTGAGTTTTCTCTTTTTTACTATTTTATATATCGTTTGCTCTAAGTGTTAACACACCTTACACCACTTATTCTCCTTTCCACTAGGCGAGCCTGAAGATGAAGTGATGACACTTCGAAACCGGTCGCACTCAATGTTTTGTTAAATAATTAAACATTGACTTTCCTTGTGAGATATAAAGGACTTTTTCTCCCCCTTCACCTTAAAATTACCTCAACTCACACATGGCTACCCCCCTTGTCAATTAACGTATAACGTCTATTATATAAACTGAAACTCTGACGTCAGGATTGTCGACTTATATAGCTCGCCTGAACCTTCTAGAACCTTCTCGAATTATCCGGATTATTGTTGACAAGAAATGACATTTCCAGATATTTCTGTACTATTATATCTTCTTATTTTACTCGTACTTTTACTTATGAAGACCAGAGCACACTGTAGGGTGATGTGTGATATTGTACTTCTTGTATTCGTACTGCAGGGTGTAGGGTAACACTGCAAACATTATTTTTATAGGAGACAGTGGAAATGGTTTGGTCTTCAACAATCCCACCGACAACAGCTTCTACGTACATGGTGTAGTCAGTATAGCACCCGCAAATTTGAAACATACCTGCAATTCACAAGAAAATGCTTTGTACGCATCTACAGCATTCTACAGTGAATTTATAGAAAAACAGCTAGATAAATTTTTCAAAGATGAGTGCAGACTTCCAAAGTATCCCGATTTTGGTAAATGGGAGATAAAAAACGACGCTATAAAAAAACCTGGTGAAATGGTTTTATCGAAAACACTATTGACATTTTCGTGTGAACCTGGATATAAGCTTTCAATTAGTCCACCGTCGTTGGAATGTAATAAAACATTTGACTTACCAACGTGTAACTGTAAGTATAAAGAGATCTAAAACTAAGCCTTTTTAAGTCCAAAAGCTTTTTAATATTGTAATATACTACCGTCATAAGCAAGACCCCAGTAACTACGCAAACTATAGAATGGAGATATTTGCAAAGGAAACAATTTACTATTGCCAGAATTTTGATCGGTGGTACCAATATAGTTACTTTTGTTGAATTAAGGATAAGTTTTGGATAATACTTTTAACTAGTTAAAAATAAGTTTGTTTTATTTATTTGGTAGCTTTCTAGAATGAGTAATCCGTACCCATTAGTTAATAAGGCTACTGCCCGTTCTCTCAATGTCTATAAATTCATTATTCATTACTTTTCTTTATTCATGGGAGGCTGGAGTTTTGCGTTTTTTTTTTAATTTTATGAAACGAAATCCAAGTTCACCTTCTCGTGTTGCTCAACATTAGTCTCAATAATAGCCACACCTCCTATATAATTTCATTGCATTACAATTTGACAATACCTAGTTAACTTATTTGTCGAAGCTTGCAAAATTTAATTATTTCAAAATAACTTTGTTACAGTAATATGCACAGATCCCGTATTTCCGCACACGACGACCATATTTTGCAGAAATAAAAAAGGCCAAAACATAGAATGTAAAGATCTAATTCACGAGGATATTATCAGCTTCACATGTCCTGTAGGCTACGTAACGCCTAGGGGAACCCCTTCTACGACATATTTTTGTGTTCATGGCTCCTGGGGAAGGGATAATCCTCACTGCGTAAACAAAACTCCAAGAAACTCCAATCGTAGGAAACTATCAACCTCTACCACCGAAAAACCCAAAGTGATTGAACCAAAGATTATTTGCAGTTATTGCAGTTGGATGTCTTACAGTGGAATCAACCCTGAAGATTTTGATCCGTTTTTGTGTACTCATATAGTTTATAATTATATTGGAATAAAGGATAATGGTGAGATTAGGGTTGATGATAAAGAATTGGACCTCGATACCCATGGTGTCAAAGGTAAACATTTTTTTAAGTATTAAGGTTTGTTGAATGAAGATCAATGCAGTTGTTGCCTTGGTAGACTCTATATAAGATAAAGCAATGCAATATGTTACCATATCCTTTATTAAGATTTGGAAAATTGTAACGGAAAAAGCCATATCGACTGGCATATTAGGCGAGAAAATATTGGAATAATAGAGAAGCAATGGGGCAGACCGGGGTCGATAGTAACAATTTAAGTTTGATTCTCAATCTCGGTAATACAATTATATTTATTGAAAAACTTATTATGTCTAAATTTAAATTAGATACTTCAAATTTTATAATGTATTTAAAAAAAAATTATTCATAAAAAATGAAAAAGGAGTTAAATGATACAACCGGACCCGACCACGCGGCGGTTGTAACATTATACTGGGTCTATAGTAAGACAATGTTAAAGAATAAAAACAACAAATATTTATTCAAAGAAATAGGAAATAATACAAAAACAACCCTACTTTTTTAAAAAAGAAAGTGTTAATCTTGAAAAAAATCAATTAATTAAAAAACTATTATTTACGTAAACTATAAAATTATTCCGAATAACAATTTTGACAAATATGCAGGACCTCTTGTTGGGTGCATGCTTCATGTGACCAACTTTTATAGTCGATGCACTGCACCCATTTTTTGCTTGGTCTACTTGCGTGTAAGGCTCAACGCAAACAAAACAGTAAGACTCTTCATCTTCCTCATCACTGTCTTCTTTCTTGATTTAACTTTACGTTTTTTAGAAGGTTTCGGTTTTGGTTTAGAATCAGAAAAAATTTTCTTTACATGTTTTTTCATATTTTCTTCATATTCTGCTCTTATATTTTATTTTTCAGGATATCAGTGTATAGAGTCGATTTTCTTTTTTCCTCTATTTCCTTCTTTTCTAGGCGGAGTTTTTGGGAAGGGTCCATTTCTGGCGCAAACCTTTCAAGTTGGTTGTTCCGTAGAGATTTGTTGCCTAGTCAATTTTTTGGTTCTGGCAATCTGTTTGAGCTAATTTTATTTTCATTTAAGGTTTCAGTTAAGGGGGTCGGTCTATCTGTAACATATGATGGTGCATAGTCGAGAGATGTAAATGTGTTTCTGTTGTAGGGAAATATTCCCGTACATTTGAAGCCTGCTTGAATGTTGCCTAACGTTAGTGCCATTGGAAGAGCTGTTGCGACTATGGAGGGGATGTTATAAATCATCTTTGTCTTTTCTTGATTGTTGCGTATCCAACCATCACAGCTGACATTTACTACTTTTTTTGGTGTCCCATATACAGAACGGTCTAATGGTTGAAGTTTGTGAGAGCAGTAGGAAAGGATAATATAAGGATAATACAACTATACCGTTTTCAGAGGAGTAGACAAGGGCTTGAATAGAAATGTCAGATGAATGATTGTCTAATAGTAAAAGGACTTTATGGGAGGTTGTTGAAGAGGTATATTTTTGAAACAAATATAACGAACTTCTTTTCTTGCATCCAACCACTTGCGTTTCCAGAGCCAATGCTTCCAGTTGGGCCGTCTCAAACAAAATGTTCTTGGTAGCGAAGCCTCGGAAACATAAACATTGGAGGCACAAAATTACCAACAGAATTAACTGCATAAGTTACAGTTACCAAAGTCCCTCGTATGCCTGATTTCTCTTTTAGTTACAATTCTGTTAGGTTTTTGAACTGTTGTAATCCCTGTCTCATCAACATTATGTATGTCCTTGGCTTCAAATTTGTTTTTATCCATAACCTTCTGCAAGTTGTCAAAAAATGTATTTACGTTGAACTCGTTAAAGCTGGTGGCTCAAAATAAACTGGTTGGTTGGGCACATCTTAGAGATAGTTGTGGTTGTCTTTTCATAAATCTGCTGAACCAATCTTCAGTTAACATTTGATTTTGATCCCACTGATGTGACACTGCTAATTTATGCTTTTTGGCCAATTCACATGCGAATCTTCTGATTTATTTGGGAGAGAAGCCGTAGTATATTTCTGCTGCCTTTACTATATAATTTGCCATAATTTTTTCTTGCTCTTCAGTAAATACTTTGTTCCAAGCTCTATAACCCATTGTTACCAAATAATTTTCTCTTTGTCACAAAGAATTTTCTTTTTTATTTTAAAATCTTGTCAGAGACAATTGACAGAGATTATATTTCTTTGCTGCTGCACGAATAGACAATGCTTCGTTTTTTATTTCTTCGTATGCCAGCTCATAGATTGATATATCTTTTGTACCTCTATCAGTCCTTCTAACCTTTGTACGAGAAATTCTGGAATAAAAGGCCCTTAATTATCAATAAGACTAATATAAGTTCTATAGATTGTAACGTTACGTTCGACCCCAGGCAATGATGTTACAAACGGCCCCGACCATGTTTTTGATTATTTCTATTTATTTTCAATAATTAGAGGCCAAAATTACCAAGGTAAAACCGTTATGATACCAAAAATATCTATACTTAACAATCAATATAAGATTTTTTTTACCTGCAGTAGAAAAACCTATATTCGCATATAAACTCACTCAAAAAAGTTACATTACGGCATCAAAAACAAATTATTGCTATACTCGGACAAAATATTGAAGAAGGTGATTCCTCCCTTTTCACGTACAACAATAATACTATACTAGAGCATAATGAATAGAATCACGCGCTAAAAACTGCAGAAGTTATCGGTATCACGTGCCAACTAGTCATAAATGCATGTTTATTGCCAAAATGAATTACGCCAGTAGCGTATAAAAACTATTGGCAAATTAAATGCGGTAATAGTAAATAATATTATATGAAAGTAGGTTGGTTATCTATTTTTGTAGTAATAATCATTTATGTTTATAATTGTGTTTTGTTTATTATTAAAATATGTAATTATTATGCCAGTGGCGTAGAAACACTATTGGAAAATTAAATGAGGTATTATGCTAGAACAAAATGCACTCTTTCAGTGTCGCAGAAATACTGTATTGGCAAATTAAATGGGTATTTGTGAATATTACTAGATAAAAGTAGTATAGTAAGCGACCCTACTCTGTGCAAACATCGCCGAGATATTAAAGCCACAGTGTTGCCAACCTTCAAGTAAGCTTTTCCCCCTTTTTCCTTAAACATTCCCACTTTTATGAAAAAGTTCCCCCCGTTAACAAAATTGGTTTTATACCAGAAATACAAGCATGTACATATTTTCCAAAAAATATGTATTAAAACAGAACGAACGTACATAACAAAGTATAAAAAGTATAATGTAAAAAATGTAAATCTTTTAACAAAACTATAAAAATATATTAAAGATTTAACAATTTTAATTTTATTTATTATTAAGATCATACATTTTTTACAATTTGGACTGAAGTAAAAAATTCCCGTTTTGAGGTAACTTTGCCCTTTTGTGTTGAAAATTCCCGCAAAACGGAAATTTTCCCTCCTGTTGGCAACACTGTAAAGCCATGATAGGCCGTGAGGTGCTGCTTCAATCTAACCGAGGCATGCGCTCTTATCGCAGTTGCGTTGTTAGATATTTGGGTTGCTACTTTCGCTGCCTGTTACTTTCGACCTCAGTCTACCCTACTTTTTTAAAAGAATAAAAAAATAGCGTACTAAAAAAGCGGTAGTGTTATGTGTATCATAGTTTAGGGTTACTTGTTGCATAGAGTTGAAGAAACCCATAAAACGGCTGAGTTTATCAAATTTTGACCAGTTATAAATACCACGGTTACTCAATTTTCTAATTAAATGATATATTTTAGGTTTATTTGTCAGAACCACCGATTTGAAAAAGAAAAATCCTAATTTAAAAGTTTTAATCAGCGTAGGGGGCACATCTGCGACGAATTCAAGTCTTTTCGCCATAGTAGCTCGTAGTGATGATAAAACAGCCAATTTCATAAATAGTGCTAAGGATATATTGACGAAATACAATTTTGATGGCTTAGACATTGACTGGTTTTATCCAGAGGAGATACTAAAGGTATTAGAATTTGATATAATTCGAAAAAAAGTAGAGGAATAACTGACTTCAATTCACAGGACGACTATATCCTCTTCTTGGATGCAATAAGAGAAGAATTTAACAAACACAAATGGTTACTGGCGGCTTCTGTATTACCATATCTTGACGGTACCGGTTATATTGTTCCCGAAATGAACAGGTTTGGTGAAATAAATTGATAACACTGCAAGTCAATTTGGTCCATGGCTTGAATAATTTTTTTTCATCGCTTTTTATCTTTAGCTTTTGATTTCTTCGATTCTACATCTTTGTCTACTTCAGATTTTTATCTTAATTTTGATCGTATCTTAGTTTAGGTATTCTTTGTATCATCGTGTCTTTATGTTTCTAACCAGTTTAATCTTTGTGTTCTCACTACTTGTGTTAAATTTTTAATTTCCAAACTTTGTACTATGGGCAATGACGCGCCGTCTATATACGTAAGGTCGTGCGGCGAACGACGGCACCAATGTATAAAGGCACCATCAGCCACACCCTAATTTAAAGTAAAAATCGTTATTTGAAACTTCACAATAAATTTTCAAAAAACTTTATTAAATTTTCCTTTTAAGGCAAGGGTTACAATTATTGATTCACCCTGTAAAAGTATTATTTATACCATTGGATAACATTTTTTATATGCTTTTCAATGATGTATCATAAGTAGGTGTTTGCTATTTAAACTTTTTTAGTTGGGGCAGATGGGGCCTAGGGGGTTGACGGAGATGAGTTCTCTTTAAGGTCATTTTAGTTCCTTCTTCCTATCCTAGAAAATGGTTAAACCATTTTTTGATATAATTTTTCGTTTGTGAGATATAGGCCATTGTAAGTTTTTAATTTGTTACACCGTATATGTAAATTAGGACTTTCAATATTTAGCACGTTTGCGAAAGTTTTGATAAACTGAATTCCTTTTTAAACGAATATAAATCAAATAAATGTTTTAATGACATTCAAGGACGGCTCCATGGAGCGAGCCATGGGGACCATGGCCCCACCCGAACTTACAATTCTTGCAATCCATTGGTCTTAAAAAAACATGTGCTAAAAATAGAATAACTTATGGCTATGGCCCCTTCCGAAACTTCGATCTGGTGCTGCCCGTGATGACATTCTTGTAGATATAAAAAAATTAGCATCTTGAATGCCACATTCAAAAGAGCGTAAAAAAGCATTCTTCTGCAAAAGTGAGGATCAGTTAAGAAAATAAAGAATTAAAATTTAAGGTCAAATGTTTTTTTGGAATACTTGACATGACATTATACCATTTAAGCTGTTTTAACCTCTCATTCTGACATTTTTATGTAATATTGATGAATTTGGCAAGTATATATTATATAACAGTAACATAATTTGTGTCTCACAGTTTTAACTAAAACAAATCATTCTCTTATTGAGTTTTACATATATATTTAATAGCCCTACTAGTACTTTAGTATTTCTCCTATTAAGGCTTAGTAGATGCTTAGTGAGTATAAACGATGGTTCTCTTAAGAACTCTGTGGCCTGTCTCTATCCTGGTGAATTTTCCCACCATTCCTGAGATTTTTTGAATATCCACTGCTTTGTGTATGTTCTGATAGTTGTCGTTATGACACCACAGAAGAGTTCTGGGACAATAAGAGCCTTTGAGGCTCCTTCTCGGGCTAGTAAATCATCCTTTTTGTTGCCATTATTCCTCTGTGGCTTGGTACCCAGGCTAAGGTGAGTCTGTATTGACTAGTTAGTTATGTTAGGGCTTCCAAACAGTCCGACACACGCTTTGAGTGTACCTGCATAGCACTGATTGCTTTTAACGTCGCTTGGTTGTCTGATTATATGACAATGGTTTTTCCATTTAACTAATCTTAATACCTTTTTTTCGCAGTGATTTATTGCTGCTATTTCTATCTGGAATATTGGCGCATGTTTACCTACGCTCAGTGAGATTCTTCTCTTTGGCTTGGTACTATATATACCTACTACTAAACCTTCATGGGTTTTGGAGCCGTCTGTATACCAGATACATTGTTAATGAATAGAAGGTCCTCCCGTATACGCTTCCCTGTCTGGTTTACTTACTTTATATTGCTGTGCTGTCTGTATGTGACAGACCTGGCTTCGCCTTGAATGAATATATGTAGTGATGTTAGGTTTAGCATGACTTCTATAGCTGCTGTTGGAATCGTTCTCATGGCTTCCGTGGTACTCAGGTATGCTTGTCTTTGAATACCATTGAGCTGAGTCTTTGGCCACCCTACCACTAACCCGTAGATTATTATTGGCCTTATGACTCTTATATATAACTATAGAGACACTTTCTGTTGCAGTCCCCAATTTTTTCCACACAACCTTCGATATAAGTTGAAGGATGTTGTGCTCTTTTGGGTGACTTTTTGCAAGTGTTGATTCCATGTTAACCTGTGGTCAAAGATGACTCGCAAGTATTGGGCCTCTTGAGCAAATTGAATCTTCACTCCTTTGAGTACTGGTGACTTTAGTCCTGTCAGTACTTTTCGTTTTGTGAAGTTGACTATTGTGGTTTTGTGAGGGTTTACTGTTAGTTCCTCCTCTCTGCACTACTCATCTGTTTCGATATTGTATCTGCAAAGCCGGACATGGGATCCATATGTGAATTTGAACCGTGAGTGCTAAAATCCTGGCTAGTTTCTTCAGAATATTCAAAGTTATCAATTTCTACGCTTGTTCCAGTAAGTACATGGAGTTTTTTTCCATGTTTAGGTTGATTTTCATTGAACCGCAGCAACTTTAAATGTGAACAACTTAAGTCGTTTTCCATAGGCATCACGTTCAATACCCTATTAGCATTTAAAGGTGTAATGCCTCATTTATCGAGTCTGGCAATTATATTTCTGTTGTCTTCATTTAATTCTAATAATTTTCTTAATAAACCTGAAAAAACGTTTTTAGTAATGTCATATTTTTATTAGTTTCAACTATCTTTCTCCATATAACCTTTAAAAGTTTTAAAAAGGCAACGTCTAAAGGTTGCTCGGTAAAAATATAAAAATAAGCACTCTTGTATTCATTATATTAAGAGGTAAAAAGATAAATTATCATCAATTAATATCTTTTTGCCAGGTAACTTCTTCAAATATGCTATGGCAATTAAACGTAACCAATCTTCGAAATTATCGAACCATGTTGATTTACTGCGATTACATTCTGTATGGGGTAGTCCTCCGATAGTCCAAGAATCATACATGTTTGACTTTGTAGACGACATAACATGGAAGTAAATATCCACTACTAGAAGCCAGAAGCAGCGAACTGATTGAGGTTGACGACTTGCTATGATTTTGCAATTAGTTTGTTTCATTCTGGGTTATTGAAAAGGTTGGTCTCATTATAGTGTATGTTGTTGCTAGCGGCAATACCTCCTAGTTCTTCAGAAAGGCTTCCAAAATATTATGTTATTATCGTTTCATATTTTGGCACATTCTCTCCGACAGCATATTTAACTGTCATTTTAAAAAGCTATATGTGACCTCATTACCAGAAAAAGTGTCCTTTAAACAGGTTACCACCCTACTAACTCTATTTAATTGGATAGCCAATGCTATAGGTATCCAAGGGGTAACCCCACTCGTATTTAAGTATTTGTTTTGCTTCGATTTCACTTAATACTGTTTGACCTTCTTGTATTTTAATATCTACAGCTTTGCAGAACAGTTTTTTGCGGCTTGGATTAGTTTTCTTTTGTAAACATTTTCCGTATTGTTTTATGTTTATAATCTCTAGTTATTTTCACGTCGATAATGAAGGCCAACCCTTGCTCCTATTGTCCCCTAAAACCTAATACACCTGCAACACAAATTAAAAATATTTTTTTAATTTTGTTTTTGCTTACGAATAAACTACAATCATTTTGTGTGCCTTAGTTACTAACCTGTTGTAGTTAATTATGTCATGTGTAAATAATAGTGCTATTAATGTAGGTAACATATAAAAAATACAGCCAGAAATACCTTTTTGAACCTATTTAATTTTTACTTAGATTATTGGACTGGATCACGATAAAAACTTACGACATGTACGGTTATTGGAGCTCATACACGGGCAATCACAATGCTTTATTTGAATCTTCAAAAGAATTCCCTTGGGAGAAGAAAAATCTTAACATGCGTGGAGCTGGATTTAACTGGTTGGATGCAGGTGCCAGCAAACACAAAATAATTTTAAGTATTGCTTTTTATGGAAGAAGCTTTACGTTGAAAGATCAAAATCAGTTTGGTTTGCATGCTCCTATCAATGGGCCAGGTCCTGGAGAAGATGGAGGGTTTTTGAGATATTATGAGGTTTGTATTATCACCATCGACAACAGTATAATAATTAGCATGGTTTCAGATTTGTTCGAACTACACGAGTCCAAAATATACGCTAGTATGGGACGATGAACAGAAAACGCCATACCTTTATTTGAAGAATAATTGGATCGGGTTTAACACCATGGATTCCGTATGGATGAAGGTATTTAAGTAATAAATAAATAGTTAACAGAAATTTGAGGTTTTATGACTAAATGAATCTCACATTTAAGTGGAGGGTAGAAATGCTTCAAAAAATAATATTCGGTAATTTTGTTTTATAAAATAGGTCAGTCTCTAGCGAAGGACAAACGAAATAGTAAAAAATATCGGGCAGAATTAAAAGAAATGTATTCACACTTATATCAAGTTGTATTCAAACAAGTTTCCTCATTCTCCCATTGACCTATTGAGTCTGGTTAAAATTTTTTCATGTTCCTACCTAATTGGATTAAAATAAGTTTCCTTAAGATAAACATAATACAATTGGGCAATGAAAACCTTGCCTGCAAATTATATAGTAAGGACAGTGAAATACATAACATGAAAAAAAAGAGATTTTTTGATCATGTATGGATTCTAAGAACTTTTTAATTCACAAAAATTGCTTGTCCGTTTTAATATTTTACAAACGTGTTAAGGAGGTCGAGAGAATACAAAAACCTAAATACCATTTTTCTCAAAAGTCCATAACATAAAAAAATGTTCATAACAATTACGGTAACTTTGTCTTTATAAAAGCATTATTCATTGTGTAAGATTTATTTTAAAACAGTGAAATTGTGATTAATTTTTCTCTCGGCAGAGGTTTGGTAACACCCTATATATTTCGAAAATGTGTTTATTTTTTATGTACCTATTGATTTCAACTTTTAAAATAAATTATTAGTAGTTGGAATGGTATCGACAGATACCAAAGTATAGACATGATTTCGTTGAGAGCTGATTGCTGATATCAATAAGGCAACAGATGTTAGCTCAACTAATTGGCTGTCAGGGGAAAGGGGTAGTAACAAAGGTTTAAGCCGAGTGGGATAATGTGTTTCCACATGTGGGTTTCCACATGCGGGTTTCCACATGCGGGCCCCTGTTTCTTTGCGTTTTATTATGTTAATAATTATGTTGATGATATTAACTATATTGTTGTCAAAGCCTAAGTGCGGTTCTTGTTTAAAGACTAGGTGATGTCCTTGAAGGTCAAATGTTGTACAGCTATCTTCAAAGCTGTCTAATTGACTTTTACTAAAATAATTTACCATATTGGAATATTTTATAGATTGTGTGAAAGATAAAGTAATTAGATTTATATTGTATCTTTTATTTTCTCCTTAACGAAAGACATTATTTTCTCCTCAACGAAAGTCGTCTTATTTTCCACATCAACAGAAATTACATTTTTTAGAGAAGACATTTTGTTTTCCAAGAAGTTTCGGTTTTTAAAGAAGATATGCCGGAAGATATCTTGTCTTATAAGGAAGAAATTTTACTGTCTAAGGAAGAAATGTCTTAAGAAACTTTATGTTCTCATGTTTTATAGAGGAAACATCGGAAGACACATTAGTTTCCAAGGATGTAATGTCAGAAGAAACTTTAGTTTCCATGGAAGAAAATTTACTATCTAATGAAGAAATATCAGAAGAAATATTGGTTTTCATAGTTGACATTTGACTTTCTAACAAAGAAATTATAGAAGACGCATCATCCGCAAAAAGAAATATTTTCGGATCCAAACTTTCCCTTTCCATTGCTTCTTTGAGCCGCTCAGCCAGCTCTGCTTTCTTCCCTGTCGTCTCCAGATAACGATCCTCTTATTCTTGACGCGATTCAATCACTTTTAAATCACACAGTTTTTTAGCCATTATTATCCACTATTTATTTACAATCCCACTTCTGACACCAATGTAACGATAGTTTAATTTATTTAGAGTTTATTTATTTAAAACACAATTTACAATTTATTTATAACATTATAACGTACTAATTAATTTATATAATACTTAGGCACTAACTCACAATTTTAATTTATTTATTACAATTTAACTTTTCTGTCCAACACTTTATTCTCCACTTATCAGCCGTCTTCAAACTCGCGATATTTATATCAAGCCAACTCTGTAACTAGAATACTTTGGGCTTTCTAGACGCTCTCGAATGTCACCCGAAAATTCCATCTCTAGACTCGACGACCACGTATTGCTTATTTTGGTATTTTCTCCATAAGTCTCAGTGTTAGACAGGGTTGGATCCACGTCACAATATTATTTTCATGTGTTGGTTATTAGATAGTATTTATATTTTTCAACTAATGAACATTTTTTAAACTTTTACTAAATGAAATTATTTTATTTGTAGGCTGAGTATATTAAGCAGCAAGGTTATGGTGGTGTAAACGTTTTCCCGTTAGATGGAGATGACGTCCATGGGATATGTAGACATAAACATATTTTATTAAAGTCTGTACGAGGTGGTTTGGGGTTGCCTGTATCTTGGCCAAGCACCAGATAATCCACAGAATCACTAATTCAAGATTTTTTTAAATCATATTATTATGATTATTTTGTATTTTGTTTAAGTTCGTAAAAGTAAACATTTACTAATTATTTATGATTTTGTTATTAATGTCTATGAGTATTTATATTGTTTACGTACTTTGTGTCTATATAACGTAAGTAAGAATATATAAAGATTACATCTAAATATTTTCTATAATTTGCTTCTTTTTCTTCTTCTTACTCTTTCTTAGTCCAGCTGTAGCTATCTTTGGCTCTAACTACCTAAGTACTTTTGGCGTTTTCCATTGGCATTGGCAGTACGCTCTGAGTATAATAATAATACTCTCCCTAATTCACCCCCTTACGAGTGAATTTTAACCCCAAAAGCTGAGCTTGTCCGGGGAAAGGGACGGCTATTATTATTATTTTCCGTGGCGCTCCGGGGCGACTTAAAGATGATTGATAGTGCCATTTGACTTACAGGTGAGGAAAACTCGGAAAACTCCACCCACCATCATCGAAAACGGTAACGCATGGTGATTTTTAATAATCTGGATGTCATATAAACAGAAATTAAATTTCTGCTAATACGGCATCCATCAAATCCTATAGAGAACCATGCAAATAAATTCACATGGTCTTCCGTAGGATCTGAAACAGTGTCTCGTTCTACCAGAAAATTGATAGCCCAATCGGATTAGTATTTTAGATTCTGAAAAATTCGAAACAGCAATTTTCCTTCGGAATTCGTTGGAGGGGGTCTCTAGTAGTCTAAATTCAAAAAGTTGGGATTCCAAAGTTGTCGTTACCTCCGCCATCTTGATTTAAAGGGTTATTTTTTGTATCTTGAATAACTCATTTATTTTCAATTTTACACGGAAAATAGTTTTTACAAAAGTTATTTAAAATTAAATTTCCTACAATTCTGCTTTTTTTTTGTACGATCGATTTTTTTCGATTTATACCCGAAAAGAGGGGGTGAATTTTTGGTTATAGAATAACTCGTTTATTTTCAATTTTACGAGAAAAATTGTTATAAACAAAGTTGTTTAAAATTAAATTTCCTACAATTCTGTTTTTTTTTGTACGATCGATTTTTTTGTATTTATCCCTGAGAAGAGTGGGGGTGAACCTAAGTATTGTATTGTCACGTTTATTATTGATGTTGTACCATTATTTTTTCTGTTTGTTTTTTTGCTGATTTTCAAAAATGTTATTTGGTACAATTATGATTCCGATTTTTTCTAAAGTACCCCCACTCTTCTCAGGGATAAATACAAAAAAATCGAGCGTACAAAAAAAAAACAGAATTGTAGGAAATTTAATTTTAAACAACTTTGTTTATAACAATTTTTCTCGTAAAATTGAAAATAAACGAGTTATTCTATAACCAAAAATTCACCACCTCTTTTCGGGTATAAATCGAAAAAAATCGATCGTACAAAAAAAAAGCAGAATTGTAGGAAATTTAATTTTAAATAACTTTTGTAAAAACTATTTTCCGTGTAAAATTGAAAATAAATGAGTTATTCAAGATACAAAAAATAACCCTTTAAATCAAGATGGCGGAGGTAACGACAACTTTGGAATCCCAACTTTTTGAATTTAGACTACCACAGACCCCCTCCAACGAATTCCGAAGGAAAATTGCTGCTTCGAATTTTTCAGAATCTCAAGCCTGTTCTTCCCCTAATCCGATTTGGGCTATGACTCGCAAATGAATGCGACGCCGTAGACACCTGCGCTACCGTAGTCGATAAAAGAAGAAAGTGAAAATACACGAAGATTACACTAAGCATTCCAGTGAAAAACACCATTAAATAATATACGGTGCAAGTGAGACCTAACATAGGAGGCGACCATTTTAATCCTCACCTAACAGGCAGTACGATATGCTCAATGGTCCATGTTCACATGTGAGATATGCTGTTTTATAAATAATATTATAATAATTAGTCACTACACAAGTTATTCTAAATAATCAGTTTGTTAAAAAAGCCAAAAAAATTGACATTACCTAGACCACCTAACCTAAAATTCGTTGTTGTTTTGTTTGTTTTTTTTTCGATTCTCGATTTATTTCTTTTGTCTTTGCTAATTGGTTTAATTTTATTATTAACATGAGTTTGTTAGCTGGATTTATAAAAGTTGATTTAAATGTTTAACCCATTGTAGACCAACATATGATTACTGCATTTTTTAAACAATACTCAGTTTATAAGTGACAAAGTTAAGCATGATAAGCATGTTAAGACAGAAAGGTATGTAACACTTTATTTATAATTTGTTTTAATAGTATGTACAGTTTATATGGGGCAATAAACCTTATAGTATATTAGCATACACTGATATCCATAAATATAATACTAGAAATTGAGACAATATATCTGTACCTTGAAGCAACAAGGGCCAATCTATAATGTGAGCAAGAGAGCGACGTTTAAAGCTGTGCTGTTGTCACTATTTTTATAATTAGAAGTAAAAGTATAATTATGTATTACCTGAGAAATAGCAAATTTGTTATTGTATAAAACGAGTTTATACAATTTGGCTAACTCAAAAATTAAGTATTTACTGTAATACTATTTTTATTTGGTCTAAGATTAGCTACTTGCTACATGTCGTTGTAAATAATTGTAATTTAAGTACATTTGTGTGTATGAATGACTACTTTTTGTAAATATACAAACTCTTTCTGTTACAACTATTATATACATGTCTCTAGCATTAACAAGAATAAATCTACTATAATATTGCTAAATTGAAATAATAAAAACACAAATATGTTTATATTTTATTAAATAATTTGGAACAGAAAAGTAATAAAAATTAAAAAAAAATAGGAATCCATAAAAATGTACTCTTGAAAATACCAAAAAAATCACTTTTTTAAATATTTTATTATTTCTATATCTGCCTTAATGACATAATGCGATTTTCCATGAATAACTTGAAAAAAAGGAGATATTTACACAGTAAACGGAATAATTACACATGAACATAAAGTATTTGAATTCGAAGTAAATAATGCTGAGGTAGATATTTTAGCAGTACGTTTTACTATTAATAAAGGCTTTTTCTTTTGTATAAAGATTCTATTTCTGACAAAACAATATTATTCTGACAAAATCAATAATTTTTTATATCGGTTGATAAACAACAACTAGAAAAATAAAATATATTTTCTTTGTCACTATTGATTCTAACACAGCTCCTCAATGGTGATCAAGAAATAGTTATTAACGTTATAAGGCCGTTAAATAGCAAATAACGGCCGGGCTGAAGTTTGTGATCCGAGGCGATAGCCGAGGATCATAAACAGCCAAGGCCGTTATTTGCTGTTATCGGCCGTGTTTCGTTCAAGATTTTTCGTCATACTGCTACAAAAACAAAACACCTAATTTAAGAACAAATTTTATTAAACGTAACTCTTAAAAGATAGGTACGGAATAAAACAATTTATTCCTTATTGTAATGGATGTGGAAATTGAATTCGCAATTGGTGTTATTTGAAATCTGCAACCCGTCCCAAGGATATTTAGATTTTACAGAGGAAGATGTTTCTGAAGAATGTGAACTATTTGCAGTACTTGAAGATGCAATATTCTCCGGATTATTTGGAAAAAGTTGTTTTGTTATTTTCATTCTTTTAGAAACCGATTTTTCTATGTAAGTTTCCGCCACCGTTGATGATTTCCATCCTCCCAGTTCTTTTAATGACAGTAAGTCACCACCATTTTCTACGAGCATAGTTGCTGATATTCTACGAAATGAATGTCCTGTATAAAGTTCGGGATTTTCAAGTTTTAAAAAGGTGGCAATTTTCTTAGGAACGCTTCCGATGGTATGTATGCCGACGACTTGCTGCACACATTTGCCATTCCTATAACCAACGAAAAATCTCTGATTTTTGAAACTAGTAGGACGCAGATTACTGTATTTCTGGTATAAACCATATGCATCAAATGGAAGTCCTGTTTTTCGGATAAGAAAATTTCTGTCTTTTTTATTCTTAGTATTTTTTAGTGATACGAGGATGTTTTTCTCTGTATCTTCGAAACTGTTAATGGTGAGAGACGTAAGTTCACTTCTCCTGCAAGCTCCTAGAATACCGAGCACTAACACAACCTTTTCCAGTAGCCAGGTATGATCATCCGCGTCCAGCAAAAATTTAAGTATATCATTTTCCGATAGAACCTTGGCTTTCTTTGGGGTATAACCTTCATTTTTGCGCCTCAGGAACAAGAATAGTTTACCGAATCTACAAACAAACATAATTTCGATGAGTATATAGTTAGTTCAATGTTGGCGGATAGTATAGTAATTTACCTTGATATGTCAATGTTTTAATGTATTCTTAACGCAAGTTTCAGCATTGATATTTTTGTCCACAGTGATGTAGGAGAATACGTTTCAGACATTCCTTTTGCATAAGCTAGCAGTACTTCTTCACTTACACTATGTATGTTTCTATTCTGCCGCCACTTCACGAAGTTGTCGTATTCCTGCTGATATCTTTGTTGGGTTGTACTCGGAAATAAATTTTTGGTTGCCGCAGCTGCTTCTTCCAGTACATCGGAGGGAATATCGTTTTCGAAAATTTCTTCCATCTTTGATCTTTTCCGCTCTATAATCACTCAACAAGAAACAGTACTGTCAAACTTACAATGTTTGTATAGTATATTGATGTGGTTGCTAGGCAACTTTAGATTGTTGTGATTGTTGTAGGTGGTGCGCGGCCATTATTTTATTTAACGGCCGGCGGCCGTTAAATGCACCTTTTCGATATCAATTTCGCTCATATTATGGTAAGATAATAGCATGGTATAAAAAATAAAAGGTAAGATATCAACTGTGTTAAAAATAGGTCGGCTACGCGCATGACGTCACGCGTAGAGTTTGTATGAGAGCGAATTTAAAAATACTGACGAAGTGTGAGGAAAATATATGCTGTTTACAAAAATTTAATGAATATTAAAGGGTAATTTTTTATAAATTAGAAGAAACATCTAAGAATATTATTATGGGGAAGAGCTATGAAGGAAAATAAATGCAAATACATACATAAAAGAAATATTTATTTTAAGTAACAGTTTTTTTTCTTTTTAATGAATTATTTTTGTTATGCAAATTCGAATGCAGGTTTTTAATTTTGAAGAATATTTGACTTCCAAAGAATAGGTTTTATAATCAGGATAATTAGAAAGGTAT